GATGATTAATGTTTAGGCTATCCTGATTTTGGCTTTTAGTTAATTTCAGGTGAAGAATAAAATGATGAGTGTTTGTATGGACAATTTGAGCTTAATGGCTTATGTTATCAATGGTAATTTTTAATAATTAAAATATTAGTCCAGGATAAATAAATTCATAAATTACAACTTGTTTTGAATGTGTTTAAAATCCAAAAGATTGGTACGATAACCCATTTTGTAATACATTTGTGTACCTAAATCAGGATGGAAGAACGACTTCGTTAGAATAAATATATTACTAATTTGCAGCTAAACCCTATTTCATTTTTAATGGTGTTAACCTTGAACTTTGTTTGGAATGTTAACAATCAAGTCTTACAAATTAGGAGAATATAAATTAAGATATAGCTAAGAAATAGGAATTATTTAATTCATTTTGTCTTTCTAAAATTTCAGGTTAATAATGTTCAAAATGCAGAATTGAATACTGCACGACTTGTGCTATTTAATAACAGGATAAATCTGTCTTTATTGTGAGGAATTCTCGAAATTAGAAGATGGTTAGTGTACCATGGTTTCTCCAGGAAAGTTAAAAGAAAATAATTGTTTATCACCGTATTACATATCATCAACAATGGAATGCAAAAAATGCTCTATTGAAAATTGCATTTATTGTTTTGAATATGTGGTTGATGATTTGAAATTAACAACTCTTTATCTGAACTTCAATTAATTCAATGGAGATGATAATATTTAGGTGGGATGTGCAATGTGTAATGATGGATATGTTTTTGATTTTAGAATTGGATTATGTCTTAAACAAACTCCAAAAATAGACTTCTGTCTTAGAAGTTATATTAATTAAGAGGGAACAGAAAAGTGTACTTTATCTTCAAAGTATGATTTCTCAGTCTCAAGAGAAATAATTAATTGTGAATAGTTCATTTCTAATTGTCTCTAATGTTTTCTTACTGTTTAGTAAATCTTAAGATGTATTGTATGTAAAGAAGGTTACACAACCTCAACATCTGAAGTCAATGGCTAATGTAATTTAAGCTTAAAGCCAAATTAATTGATAAGTATAGAATCAAATGCATATTTAAAAGATGCATGGGTGTAAAGAATTTAGAGTTTTTTGGGATCCTTTTTACCTAATTCATATTTTTATCCATTATCCTAATATACTTTTTAGGTTGGTGAAATTGCAATCTCTTGTAAGGAAGGGTATTAATTGGTTAAATTCAAAAATTGTGTTCAATATTGCGATTCAAATTGTTAGGATTGCAAGTTGAATGCGGCAGATTAATTTTTTTGTAATCTATGTCCCTTAGATTATTTTAAGCAGAATCAAAGAGTATAAATCAATAGAATTTGCTAGTCATGCTAACTTCTGTGCGCTTTCTGTTAATCAAGAAATTCTGATGAAATAAATGTAATTTATTTTTTTTACCATTTAGTAAGCTTTCCCTAATTTTATTTCAACTTAGGATAACGAGTTATTTTCAAAAAAATGTTATATACCTGCTCAAGATCCAAATATACTTATTTTGCCTTAAAAATTAGTTCCCATATTTTGTTTAGATAAGTCTTGCAAGAATCATTTATTCTATTAATTTAACAGCTTAAATTGTTATGATGTTGACTATATATTCGTTGATTTACTGACTTAAGCCAATAAAAAGTACTTAAATTAAGTTGGAGTACTAATGGTTACTGTTTTATTGAATTTTCCAAATGACTTAGTGTCTTGTTAATCTGGAAGTACTGTAGACAGCACATTATTAAAATAAAATGTATTTTCTTTAAATCAAGTTAATCTCATCATTGATGGTAATTACATAGAGTTTAGAAATAATTATGATGATATTCTGGAGAATTTTGACTCAATTGATATTTTTAATTAAAATATTCGATAATAAAATTGTTCATTTCATTTTGGAAAAAATAAGTAGAAACTTAAAATGAAGAATATTCAACTTATTGGAGAATAGATAACTTAAAATAAATTATTTCTTAATTCGAACTCATTTAGTAAAATTGAATTGGTAAACATCACAATCAAAAACATAAATTTTAACTCATCTTCATTCTTCAGATTAGATTCCTTAGAATTTTAAAGTTAAGTACGGATTGTATCACTTTTAATATAAAATTCATCATTTTTGAACTCCAATTTCATTTAGATTATAGATAGTGAATTGTCAATGTATATTTTAAAAAATAGAAATTGTAAACTGCACTCTTATAAATTCATCACTTATTAGTATAAGAGAAAGAGTATTCATTCAAAATATTCATCAAATATCATCATTTACCGTGAAAAATTGTAATTTACAAGAATCTAACTTATTGTATTTGCTTGGGTAAGTAAAGCTAGAAATTGTTCACTTGTATTTATAAGGAAATGTTTTTCAAAATTCTAGTTTTTTTATTAACAATTATAATACTTCCATAATAGATGCGATAATTTAGGACAATACATTAAACCACTCAAATTTAATGATCACTAATGGAATAAATGTAACAGGATATTTTGGATTTTTTATGGATTAGTTCAATATTCACAACTTAATTTTAGATAATTCTAACATCCTTCAATTATCTACTAGTTCTCTTTATCAAAATTTGATAATTTAATTGAACAATTTAATGATATTTAATCTTTAGAGATTTGATTTTTTAAATAATACCAACTATGTATTTTAAATCAGTAATTGTTTTTCATTAAGTATCAATTTTATTGAAATTAGAAATATCAAAAATATTACAGCATTCTATTTTTTTTAAAGTCACAACATTTTAATTGAAAATGCTCAATTCATCTAGGATATTAAAAAGAATTAAGTTCATTATTCTTAGTCATGTAGACAATCGAAACTTTTATAAAATTAATTTATTCACATTGAAGGGTTTAGTTACTTTAAATTACAATATGCATAGATAATTGACTGCTAATTAGTCGATTCAACAATAATTGAAATAATATCCATATTTTAAGAGTCAACTAACAGTAGAGAAATTATAGAAATAAAAGATGTACTTTTTAAAAGGAACATCATAGAACAGAATCAATAGAGTAAGCTATCCTTATTAAGCATATATTCGGAAAGGAAGTAGATAATTAAAATCTAGAATTTGTAATTCATTAATAATTTCTTCCATCAATATGAAGACGATCTTAATGAAAATTCTGCTGGTTTGATTTATATTCGTTCCACCTAAGGTGAAATACAAGCAGTTAATATATAATGTATAGAAAATGCTATAACAAACTCGTCAACCTCCTTTATATATATTATCTCAGAATCAATCTACCTTAATAACTATAGAATTAATGATCATAATATAATCATTTAAGAATTATGGAGTTAATTTTATAAATTAGAGATTGATTAGTAATATGATAAATATCAAATTAGTCAAATAATAGATTAGATATATCCAATAAATACTAAAGGAGGTGCTGCAAAAATAGTTACTGAATAATTTGTGTGTTCAAATTCAATTTTTCAAGATATTATGACTTCAACCAGTGCAATATTTGATATTCGAACCCAAGGGTTAGGTG